CTTCTTGGCCTGGTGACCCTGGGGATATTCCCCCCATCCCTCTGTCTGGGAGTGCAAAACAGCTAAGAATGTGGAGGGGAGAGGAAAACCACCGGCGACTGCCTCAGTTCTTGGGGCTGGGCTGAGCCGAGACGGCTTGGCTTGTGCTGTGTCCTGAGGTCCCAGCAATGGAGCCAGGAACCATGTAGTGTGGGAGTGGTCAGTGGGTTGGCAGGGGTGTGGTGAGAAGCAGCGGTGACAGGCAGGGAAGTGATGAAATGGCAGTGGCAGCAGCAGCGAGTGGGCGGGTACGAAAGCAGAGATAGCTGGGTGGGAACGTGGGGCCCGTGCCAGTGCCCTGGTACCGGTGGGGACCCAGAGTGGAGCAGCAGGTGCACAGGGACAGGGGCAGGGCCCGGGCTGGCAGGGGCTCTATGGAGCCAGGGCGGCTCTACCCCTCTCCCTGCTGGCGCAACCCAGTCTGGCTCCATAAAGCCTCTGCCAGCCCAGGACCTGCACTTCTGCAGCCCTGCCCTGGGCCCCATGACCCCACTCAGCTGTCATTGTACTCATGCCAACCTGCCCACTTGCTGCCACCACCATTTCCCCACTTTCCCACCCTCCCCACTGCTTCTCCCCACTCCTCCAGCCGCTCCCACACCACGTGGCTCCCAGCTGCATCCTGCCTGCCCCTCGCCCCGGCGGAGCACATGTATAAATGCCCAAAGGTAGTACAAAGCATAACTGTCTAGATCAACAGTGCCCAACCTATGACCTATTGCCCCAGGTACAACTTGTGGAATCATGTTATCTGGCCCACAGGGCTTCCCATGGTGCTGAAAATTTGGCAGTGGGGGGAACAGTAGCAGTGTTAATTACTATGGCTCTAGGCAACTACCATGGTAGTTAACAATGCCAGCTCTCCCCTTCCATCCAACTTGCAGTTCTGAGGGAGCCTTTGTGCACTGGATGGTGAGGCCAGTGTACTGAAGCAGGTTGGGGTAGACCTGGCACACAGGGGTGGGTCATTAAGCCAGACTGCACGCATATACTGACTCCAAGCTGAATCTTGCTTGTGGACCAACCCCAAGCCACTCATCCAGGCAAAGGGGCCAGATGGATTAAGCACTAAACTGTTCAAAAAGGCTGTTTTTTAATTTGGTTTGGGATTCAGCCATTTTGGAGAACAGCGATTCATTCTGATGTTTCAGATCACCGTCCTGTTTCGTTTCAGCTGAATCCATTTCCGAATCTCCTCTGAATGCGTTTCAAATGGGCTGCACGGAAAGCTTTGCATAGGCCTACCCAGCTGGGCAAGGCTGGAGGATGCAGGGCCCCAGCACACAGTAGGACAGGGCTGTGGGTGGCTCATCCAGGGGAGAACCGCTGCCCTCCATGCAGGCAAGGAGACCCCCCATGTGGATCTCTGCTCCCTGCAAAGTCAGGTCACACGGCAGGGATTGCCCAGCTCCCGGTTTGATTCCCCAGCTCTTCCTGGGGGATGCAGGCCGCCGCTGCAGGCTAGGGCCAGTGGCAGCACTGCAGTCTTCCTGGCGCTTGACACAGACTGTGACACACAGGTGCTGCTGGCCCCAGCCTGCTGAAACCCTGCATGCAAATCAGGGACCTGTGCCCCCCCAGGAAGAGCTGGGGA